ATGCACAACAGTAATCCTCCGGCTCACAGCTCACCATCTGCACTCTCTGCCTCCTGCTTCTCCTCTGGCTCCTGCTTCTCCTGCTTTCTCCTGCTCCTACTCCTGCTCCTCTCTGCTCTCCTGGCTCCTGCTTCTCCTCTGGCTCCTGCTTCTCCTGTGACTCCTGCTTCTCCTCTGGCTCCTGCTTCTCCTGTGGCTCCTGCTTCTCCTGTGGCTCCTGCTTCTCCTCTCTGCTTCCTGCTTCTCCTCCTTCTCTCTCCTGTGGCTCCTGCTTCTGCTTCTCCTGGGCTCCTGCTTCTCCTGAGGCTCCTGCTTCTCCTGTGGCTCCTCTCTCCTGCTTCTCCTGTGGCTCCTGCTCTCTCCTGCTCCTGCTTCTGTGGGCTCTTCTCCTTCTCTGCTCCTGCTTCTCCTGTGGCTCCTGCTGCTTCTCCTGTGGCTCCTGCTTCCTTCTCCCTCTCCTCTCCTGCTCTCCTCTGGCTCCTGCTTCTCCTGAGGCTCCTGCTTCTCCTCTGGCTCCTGCTTCTCCTGAGGCTCCTGCTTCTCCTCTGGCTCCTGCTTCTCCTGCTCTCTGGCTTCCTGCTTCTGCTCTGTGGCTCCTGCTTCTCCTGAGGCTCCTGCTTCTCCTCTGGCTCCTGCTTCTCCTGTGGCTCCTGCTTCTCCTGAGGCTCCTGCTTCTCCTCTGGCTCCTGCTTCTCCTGTGGCTCCTGCTTCTACTGTGGCTCCTGCCTCTTCTGTGGCTCTTGTTTCCCTCTTGTTTTTCATACTAAGTCACTCCCCCTTCAGAGCACTATTACATCCCATTAATGAAAGTCGTGCACATCACGTTGAGTGTGTGCAGTTGTTGTGTAAAGTTTTGTGTCATGTTTTTGTATATTTTTGGAGACTTGTTGTGTGGGAGTGTGGGGGCCGCAGGTTTGTGGGCGGAGTCTTGGACAGAATCTTACAGCTAACAGTTAGGAGAGTTTGAATGAGGCCTAGGAGAGATCTCTAGATTACATAAATGTGCATGGATGACATCTTAAAGCTCTTCAGGCGTGTTTTTGTTGAGGGAACAGTGTTATAGTCTGGGAACCAGACCTCTTCACTGCATAATTTTTGCTCCTTTTTCTTACTTTGATTTTTCCTGAGTCACACATCGGGACATTACATATTATATATTATATATTATGAGTTCAGGCTCTTTTGTTTCGACCCCGTTTGGTCTGAGTAGCCCCAAAACTCCTTTTGTGGGACCCACCTTGTGTGAAATGATATGAGTCTGTTCAAAGTGAGACTACAGTCACACAAAGTATCACATAGTCCTGAAATTTGGAACAAAAAATCCTGACATGATGAGGAATACAACAATATAATCTTACTGGGCTTTTTGTGTTTCTGTTTACAGTTATTAGACCAGTTATGAAAATAAACATTTAAAAAATACATTCTCAACGACAAATCCTCTCCACAAAATAACTGATTGTGAGACACTGGCATGGAATTACAGTTCCAAAATAGTTTGTAAACAGAAAGCTTCCCCAATGTGTCAGCTTCAGTTGAAGCCCAAGATGAGCCGTGTGTCTTTGAGCATCTCCTGAAGTTCATTTGACCACAGAAAACAGATGGGAAACTGGCACATTTCAGGATCAAACTTCAACTTAACTTTCATGGATTTGATTCAAAATGGGCAAAATTCATGTTTATACATGAAATATTACAGAAGTGAAACTTGAATCTTGTATCTTAATGTTTGAGTAAATAAACATAATAAAAATAAACATGAAGTGCACTCATCAAGAAAAAAATAATAAAAATCAGGTAGAGGTGGTTTTAGAAGGACATTTGAGCATCTTGTGTGGGGTCGGGTCGGCTCTGTCCTCAGGAGAAAGGGCTGCGGCGTGGGAGGGTTTTATCTTATTTTTGTTCTTTTTTTTTTTTGTCTTTTTTTTGTTTCAGTTCTGTAAAATATTTTTTGCAAAGTAAGAAAAAAAAAATCTCCATAGCAACTAAACGTGAAAGGATGTGTCAGTGTCCTATAATGTGTCCAGTTTTACAGATTTGTGCGTGGAGGAAAATGTGCTTTTTATTTTTTCATTAACTCAAGTTTTCAAGATCAAAAACTGTAGAAAAAAGTGTATTTACATGTTTAAAAAAAGAATAATAATAATAAAAAAATAAAAGATTAAACACAAGATTGACTTAAAAAATTTCAGATAATCTAAAATACAATTATTAGTCAACTAGTACCAATTTTAATCACGGATTAAGTGAATAAACGACAAAACAATTACACCTTTCTATTATTTTGAAACAGCCAACACTATTTTAGATTGAAACTTTTTATTTTTTTATTATAATTATTATTTTTATCGATTTTATACAAGTTTGTGCATCTTTTTATTTTTATTTGTATTTATTTATGATATATATTTGTTGCCTAGTTACAAATTATTTCTTCATGTTTTAGGCCGATGCTCGGTCCAAACAATGTAGAAACAAACAAAGTAGTGTCCTTGATTCGAGGTGGAACTCTGCTCACATCATTTCATTTTATATTTTCATCCAGGCCTCATTTACATTCAATTATCTTTTGAAAGTTCGAATCAAAACTATTTCCGTTTATGCAAATGTGGTGTCCATATTGTACATTTTATTTGCATTTTTTGATTTGTACTTTGATTTGTACTTTGAATATTTAATTATATTTTATGCAATGTAGTGTAGGCCTATGCTTCTTCTTAGTTTTTTTTATTGTTTTTTTTTTTTTTTTCCATTGATGTATGATTGTATTTCATATTATTTATCTGCTTCACACTTGCACTAAACCACCAAGGCCAAATTGTGAATTCTCTTCCTCTAATCCCATTCATTTATTTATTTATAACATTTTCCCCAGAGCTAAACTTTTTTATTTTGTATTCATATTTTATTCTAATGTACATACCCTTAGACAAACTTTGTTGATCCACAAAGAAATGATTTGGACACAGACGCTCACACATCACAATAGAATATAATAAAAATATAAATAGTAATAATATATTTAAAATAAGTTGCAAAAATAGCAAGAGACTGTGCCAATAAAACGAGATTATACAAATGTTTTATACAATTATACAAATGATTATACAAAAAATATCTCAGCTAATATGCTTTTATTTTATTTTATTTTATTTTTATTTAATTTATGTGTCATTACTGCACAAGAGCAATTTTCCAGATTTATTTTTGAATTTTCTTAAAATTTTTGGAAGGAATAAATGTGTTCATGTCACTTTGCAATAATTCTGCTGTGATCCAAAGCAAGAAAAATGATCTGAAGATTTTTTGCAGACGCTTTATTTAAAAATTTTGCACTGCTAACCACACACATATATTTTGGCTTTGTCCTAAATCGGATTTGTTTTGTAGGGAAGTTTTTGATGCCGTTGAAGTTATTTTAAATCAACATATTCCATCTAACCCAGTAGTAGCTTTATTAGGAGCAATATCTGCAAGTATCAGCAAATGAAATGGAAAATACTTTTAGAATATTTGACTTACTGCTGCTTTACAATGTAAAACCATCAGATTCTTACTCTTATAACATCTGGATTCAGAAAGTATGAGATATATTCAAATGGAGCAGATACACATATTTGTAAAAGCAGACATGTCAAACTCAGGCCCGGGGGCTAAATTTGGCCTGCAATACAATAATATTTGGCCCACGAGATCATCTCAAATCTGTATTAGAGCTGTCCGCCGGCTGCAGATCGACTATAGAGACATGATTTATTTAAAATGTTGTTATTATTTTATTCTGCTTGTTCTGGATTCAGTGCTTAAGCAAAACTATTATTAAAATTTATTTTAATAAGAAAACATTTAACATTACATATCTCGACAGAAGAGAAAACATGCAGAAGTTGTTAAAATTTTTAAATAAATATTTAGTTTGGCCCACGACTTTTTGGCCTCTGTGAATTTGAGTTTGAAACCCCTGACTTGAGGATTCAAAAACCTGTATTTATTAAGCACTGGAAACCTGTTTTGGCGTATCGTTCATACAGTAGAGACAACATGGAGCTTCTTTTACAACTGTCTCGTTTAATTCTGTCTTTATTACCCTGTTGTTTACTTGTTTCTTTTTCTTTAACTTATATTGTTTAAAAAAATTGAAATGTTTGCATTGATTTTAAACCACTGTATTATTGCTGAAAGAGAAGATAAATATTAAGTTTAAAAAATAAAATAAAAATAAATAGATTGTGGGCATGGGCTATCTGAGTGTGCTGCTCATTTTTTCACTTTTCAATCGTTGTTTCTTGCGTTTGCACCTTTACAAGAACTTCTGTTTCATTTCCCTCTCCAATAATTCACATTAATTTATCAGAGTTTAGTCTGTCCAGGCAATGTAAACCTATTCTATTCTGATTTATGCAACTAGGCCTATGTACTTTTTTATTTATATTTATTTTTAATTATTATTTTGGCTAATAGTACTTATTTATTTTCCATTCTTGCACCAAACTAACCAAACACAGCTATTTTCTTGACTTATAAATTGTGAATTTTATTGAAGGAACACATTTGTCACTTTCCATTTGACTCCCATAATTTTATAAAGTTTTTATCCAGACTTATTTCCCTTCATGCAAATGTTCCAGCTTAACTAATGCTGTATCAATATTTTATATTTTATTAGCATTTTTGAATAGTTAAACTCGCTTACTTTGCCTTTGAGTTGAACTTAAATAAATTAACGAAACGTATTCTGTTAAATTTTTTGGCATATGCACACTTTTTATTTTTATTTTATTTATTTTTTGCGTTTGTGCCAAAATTAGGTTACGACTTCTACGTTTTACGCGCGCACGAAACTATACAAATCGATTTACGCGTCATTTTTTCTCCAAAACTCCCTCGTTTACGCAAATATTTGAATTATTATTAAAAAAAAAGTTTGATTCCCGTGTTCCTCTGGGTACTAAGAGCCTATTAGAGCCCGGGCCTAAGCACCGCCCCGTTCCAACAGTCTTCTCTTACTCGCCTACAGGAAGCGACGAGCCCAAAACACGGCGAATTGTCTAAAAGTACCGCTCCGATCCTGTCCCTCCGCGCTGCATCCACATTTACGCACTTCTAGTCCAACCCTGGGCTCCAAAACCAGCCGAAACACAACGCGTAACCGTCCTTAAAAGAGTTACGTGGCATTACCGTAAGCATGCGTTTTCCATGAAGTTTTATCTCACCTGCTCGAGACGCAGCGCACGAGGTGAGTAACCCTGGTAAATCAACAGTGTACCACGAATCAAAAACTAATTAACCGTGAGGTATGTTGCAAAGACGACTCCTGTGTGCAAAGAAACGCCTCGAACTGCGCGATTTCCAGGCGCAGATTGCACGAGCGCGTTCGTTCGACACGTAAAAGCGCGTTGTGGTTGATTTAAAAGCTTGGCCAGTCCTTGATGCACTTTTTTGCTGTAGTTTAATTAACAAAGGACGCTATGGAGGAGGACCACGTGTCGTTCGGATCTGTGTGTGGCCTGTGTGTTCCGCCCACGCTTCCCCCTCCTGCTACTTCTTCACACGGGCTTTTACTGTGAAAGGATCTCGATTCTGGATGCGTTCGTTTGGTTAAAGTTACGCCAAAGCTGCTGTTGTCGCGCGTAAACTTGTTCTGACGCTGGGTTTGCCGTAGTTTCGCCCGTGGAAGGAAGTTAAGGATGCTTCGTGGAGGTCTCGGGTCGTGGACTACTTCCTGTGAGGCCGTCAGGGGGGTGTCCGAAACGTTGCAAGCCGAAAGTAACCCGCATTACCAAATTATGCACTTGAAAAGTTAATTATAGTCTTCCCAAGCGACCAGGGCGCATCCAATTCTCCAAATGTTTACAGCGGGCGCAGTGGTTTGGGTTTATTAGAAAGTTGCGACATTCTTTGCATTTTTGGCATTCATCAGTTAAAGAGCTTTGCCACTTCACTTGCCTGCTCTCTGGAAAGGTGCAGTGCTACAAATGTCTACTTACAGGAAGGAAATAAAAAAAAAAAACCCGACATTGCAGAAATAAATTTACCCAAGCAGTCAGTCCCTTCTACGTCCCGAGCCTGGTATCGGAGCACAGAGCGAGAAAAAACCCCGTCCAAACTCGAAACGGTCCAATCGCAGCTGCTGATTTGGCGCACGTGGCTCTCAAAAGTAACAGCCAAAACAAAGAACGGATTCTATAACTTCTTTTACATAAGATGAATAAAAGTTTGGTGCGTCAGGTTGTTGATTCAGAAAAAAATCCGTGCCGTTTCTCGATCCTTTGTTGTTGTTTATTGTACGTTTCTCTCTGATTGGTTAATCCGCCTGTCAATCACGCCCTCTGAAATCACGGAGACGGGACACGGCTCCAGATCTACTCGTGTTTGTAAAGTTTGGTTCTGCCTGGACACATAATAAATAGTTAAACAATAAAAAAAAAATAAAAAAACTTGATTTATTTTTATTTATTTATTTTCTGAGTAGGCCTGTCACGATAATTACTATAGGCCAATATATCGGTTTATCGTTCAGTGTATGAAAGCTGGAATGATATATTTTGATGCTCAGTATTTATCATGTGTACATTTTCTTTCCAATAATGGGGAGATTTTCTGCTTTTATTTGTTGCAGTTTATGTCTTTTTAATGATACTGTCAATTTAATAATGATTTACTGGGATTATCCTGTTGTATTTTAATTGTCTCAGAGGCATAAAGTTGTTTAAATATTATCATTTATCGCGATATTTCTCACAATAATTACTATATGTCGATTTATCATTTAATATATGAAAGTTGGAAGCATAGATTTTGGTGCTCAGTATTTATCATGTGTAAATTTTCTTTGCAATTATGGTAGATTTTTTTTATTTATTTATTGGTATTTGTAATAGGCTACAGTAAGATTTGTGTTGTAGAGAGTAGAATAAATGACTTTTGTGGTTAATTATTGCTTAATTGTGCTGTTTGCAGTTTAAGTTTCCTTAATGATACTGTATATTTAATAATGATTTACTGGGATTATCTTGATGTATTTTAATTGTATCAAAATGTTATCGTTTATCGTGATATTTCTCACAATCATTACTATAGGCCTCTATGTTAACTTATTGTTCAGTGTATGAAAGCTGGAATTGTATTTTGGAGCTCAGTATTTTAATTGTATCACATAAAGTAGTTTCAGTTTTATCATTTATCATGATATTTTTCATGATAATTGCTATGGGCCTATATATTGATTTATCGTTCAATATATGAAAGCTGGAGGCATACATTTTGGAGCTCAGTATTTATCATGTGTACATTTTCTTTGCAATAATGGGATTATTATTATTTTTTTATTTATGTATTTATTTTTTTTATTGTAGTTGTAATAGGCTACAATAACATTTGAGTTGTAGAGAGTAGAATAAATGACTTCTGTGGTTAATTATTGGTCAGTTGTGCTGATTATTTGTTGCAGTGTATGTCTTTTAATGATACTGTCTATTTAATAATGATTTACTTGGATTATCCTGCTGTATTTTAATTGTATTAGATGTTTAAAGTTGCTTAAATGTTATCGTTTATCACGATATTTCTCACAATCATTACTATAGGCCTATATATCGATTTATCATTCAATATATGAAAGCTGAAGCCATACATTTTGGAGCTCAGTATTTATCATGTGAACATTTTCTTTGCAAAAATAGAGATTTTTGTTATTTTAGTTACTTATTTTAGTACAATAAGATTTAAGTTGTAGAGAGTAGAATAAATGACTTTTGTGGTTAATTATTGGTTAATTGTGCTTTTTATTTGTTGTAATTCAAAACTTTTAATGATACTGTCTGTGTAATAATGGTTTACTGGGATTATCTTAATGAATATGAATAGTATCAAAGTCTTAAAGTTGTTTAAATATTATCGTTTATCGTGATATTTCTCACGATACTTGCTGTAGGCCTATATATCGACTTGTCTTTCAGTATATGAAAACTGGAATTATGTATTTTGGAGCTCAGTATTTATCATGTGTATATTTTCCTTGCAACAATGGGGATTTTATTTTATTTTTTTAAATTGTAGTTGTAACAGCCTAAAATCACATTTGAGTTGTAGAGAGTAGAATAAATTATATTTGTGGTTAATTCTTAGTTAATTGTGCTGTTTATTTTTTGTAGTTTAAGTTTTTAATTGATGCTGTTTATTTAAAATGTTTTTTTTTGTATTATCCTGTTTTATATTAATCGTGTGAGAGGCATAAAGTAATTTCAGTGTTATCGTTAATCACAATATTTCTTACAACAGTTACTATAGGCCTCTATGTCCACTCATTGTTTAGTGTATGAAAGCTGGAATTATATTTTGGAGTTCAGTATTTTAATTGTATCACATAAAGTAGTTTCAGTTTTATCATTTATCATGGTATTTCTCACGATAAGTACTATAGGCCTATATATCGACATTTCCTTCAGTGTATGAAAGTTGGAAGCATAGATTTTGGTGCTCAATATTTATCATGTGTACATTTTTGTTGCAATAATGGGGATATATTATTATTATTATTTTATTTTATTGCAGTTGTAATAGGCTATAATAAGATTTTAGTTGTAGAGAGTTGAATAAATGACTTTTGTGGTTAATTATTGCTTAATTGTACTGTTTGTTGCACTTTGTCTTTTAATGATACTGTCTATTTAATAATTTACTGGGATTATCCTGCTGTATTTTAATTGTATCATTTTTTATCATTAATCACGATTTTTGTCAAGAGTTACTATGGGCCTATATATTGATTTATCTTTCAATATATGAAAACTGGAAGCATATTTTAGAGCTCAGTGTTCATCATGTGCATGTGTTTTCTTTGCAATTATGCTGAGATTTTTGTTATTTTAATATAGTATAATTTGAGCTGTAGACTAAGTGACTTTAGTGGTTAATTATTTGTATTTGTTGTAGTTTGTCTTTTAATGATACTGTCTATTTAATCGTGGTTTACTGGGATTATCTTGTTTTATTTTAATTATATCACATAAATTTGTATTTATGTATTCACTTTAGGCAAGTAGAGATTGGAACATGTAACATAAGTGAAATCATAATAGCATGAAACAAAAAAATTGCCCAAACAGGAGTAGGAAGAAGAAAACTTAGTAGTTACTTAAATACTAACTCATTTCAATTTTATCGTTTCTCATGATATTTTTCACAACAATTATCGTTCAGTGTATGAAAGTTGAAACCGTGTATTTTGGAGCTCAGTATTTATCATGTGAACATTTTCTTTGCAAAAGTAGAGATTTTTGTCATTTTAGTTACTTATCTAAATTGCAGAGAGTAGAACAAATGACTTTTGTGGTTAATTATTGGTTAAATGTGCTGCTTATTTGTTGCAGTTTATGTCTTTTAATGATACTGTCTGTTTAAATGAGGAGTTATGGTGCAGCATTAGCTAAAAAAACAAAAAGACAGAGGGAACTACACAGACCATGATCCTTTGCTCTGTTTCAGTGTAGACTACAAGAAGAAATAACAGTTCTAAGCACTTTTAAGTCTTAGTTCTTTGGATTAAGTCTTGTCAAGGCTTTTTATGTTAACCTCCACAAAATATCGTAATAAATATCGTACCGTGAGATGTATATCGTGAAAATATCATACAGAGAGATTTGGATATTGCTACGTTCCTAATCATTAGCTTTCCCATGATATCGCAATATATATCATATCGTGAGGTTCATACCGTAATGATATCGTATCGTGAGACTTGGATATTGTTACACCTCTAGTTACAAGATTAGAAGACTGGATATTTTGTTCTTTGCAGAGGAAATGCTACAAAAATCTTTATTTACACAAACTTTACATTAACCTCGAAATTCGTCATGGTCTATGTAGCTCTTTTTTATCTGTTGCTGCACCATAACTTTTAATTTAAGCAAAGAGACTTGTAATTCGATATATTGTGATGGTCCATGATATTATTGTAAGAACTTTGATATGCAGTGTTGGGAAGGTTACTTTTAAAATATATTCCCCTACAGATTACAGATTACATACCTCAAAATGTAGTTTGTAACGTAATCCATTAAATTAAAGTGAGTAACGTAATCTGAATACTTTGGATTACTTGATTTGCTGTAGAGAAGCAAAGACTAGGATATTGTAACATAAGATGTTTTGTTTGCTAGTAGAAAATGCCCAGACTTTACTGAACTGTATTAAAAATATTATTGATAGAAGAAGAGGAGACACGTACACGCA